AATTTGAAAATTATGATGTAGTAAATAATAGAAATTCCTTCCATTTTTCATCATAAATTTACTGATGTGGTTTCAAATTTTATGTTTTTTTAAAGTAACAAATCAGAGGGATAAATATTATTGACTTGTAAATCTTTCATTTTTTTCTTGTAAGTTTCTCTTTGCTCTAGAATAACACCTCATTACAAAGTACTTTTCTGAGATGCTCACAACATCTTATTGACTCCAAATTTTGATACATTGGACACAATTTAAATTAACAACTCAATTTTTTTGCAATTACACTATATATTAGAATTGATTTAGTCAAAATGAGCAATTAAATCATATAATGTTTCTCATGTTTCATATTTTTAAAAATGTATTCTTTAGATCAATAATAGAATTTTTTTGCAACTAAACCTTTAATCTCATGTAGAAATTCTTTTTTCACAAAAAGAGCATAGCTTCCTTGAATAGAAAGCAGCAGCTTGATTCAATATAGAGTTATTTTTACAATAAGAATAACGTTTTGCAACATTTAAAGTATTTAATTTGTTCATTTCGTCCCTATGTATCCATAACTTTCTCTAACCTCAAAAAATAATTAGTGTTAGAGCATGTTAGCTTAGAGATCCATAACATTTATTATTTGTAGACTCAGTACATTGTGTGCATAAAATGTACATGCATAAATAATCTATATTGAATGTTATTGACCGCATACTTTTAATTCTATTTAGCTCATTTAGCTAAGCATGATCAACGAGATTTTCTTTTTTATTATCTCATATCATGCTTGCTTAAACTTTTTTTTTAATCACATTTACTCATGCAAGTGTGAAATATTCTATGTATTGTCTTATCACTATTGAAGAAATGCACATTTGAAGGAAACTTCTATGAGACAATGCAACTTCTATAGCTTTTTTCATTGCTTGATTTTGATTGGTGAATATTATTAAATGATTTTTATCATCAATTGTAAGAATGAATTTTTTGAATAATCAAGTAAATGAATCAATTGTTTCATTTAATAAATTTATTACTCAAAACAAATTTTTTTGTCAATGATGATTAACTCAAACAAAATGTGCACATACTAAATTATATTTGTTAAGTTGATAACTTATATAAAAGATTATGACATTTCTGAAGCAATCATAATCAACTTTTATCATGTCATTGCTCTAAAAAATCATTTGATTAATCAAACTCATCAGATTGGACATATTAGGAAAACAAATTATCTTTAGCCACTTTTCTTTAAAAATTTACATTAGAGCATTATTATCTTCTTTCTCAATTCTTACTCATTTCTCTTTATGTATATAATTATATGCATCTCTTTTTGAAAATCTCACATTCTCTACTCATTCCTCAATAAAATACATGAACATGTTAGTAACTTTAATTTCAACTGGTGTCAATGACAGCAACATAACTAATTTATCTTCACTGATGCACCGATGTGATGTCAAAAGATGTTGATCATTAGATTTTGCTAATGAAAGGTTGTGACTTTTTGGAGATATATTAACAATCTAATTAACTGTATGATGAAAAATATAATCATTACAAGGCAACCAATCCCAATGCCTATTTTCGAGAACTTTACTATGCTATTTAGATTGAGTCTTTTTTTTTAAACCAACTTTCAAGAAAAAAAAAAACTTTTGATTTTTTATTCATTGTGTTAGACTAATAACTATATGATCATTTTGAACACTAAATCTTATATGATGTGTATAATTATACTACTAATCATATGCCTCCTTTTCATTGTGAATAATTAGTTCAGAATACATTGGAATTGTAGCATGACATACAAATTCTGACACTAAGACTACATATTCATGTGTTAGTTATGTGAGACCCATCCTAGGTTGTATAGCCCAAGCATCCACTTGACGACATGAACCTATGATGAACAAAGTCATACGATATCCACCAAGGATGGTTGACTTATCGAAGGTTGTTAGTTGATGCTTCTTCTTGATAATCTTAATTTGTTATGAAAGAGGTAGAATGAATATAATGTGTATAATAGTTACAAAGAGAATCATTCAAAATAACAACTACAAGTTTCTCAAGGTACAATTTAGGAATTCCCACTCATGAAGTGAGTAAATATATGAAGCACAACTATCCGGTACTCGACGAATGTAAAAATATACATAGTTGCACTAAAAAAGTCATAAACAACTCCTTAGAATCATTAAAAATAGGCATTGCAAGTTTCTCAGGGTAAATTTAAAAAAATCACATTCATGATATGAGTAAGATATGGAGTACAATCATGTTAAAAAATGTAGTAAACCATAGTTGTACTCCATGAATTCCTTAAAAAACTTCTATAGAATCATTCATAACAAACCTTACAAACTTCTCAATGTAAAATTCAATAATTCTTACTCATGAAGTGAGCAAAAATATGGAGTACAACCATGTTGTACTTAATGACTACAGGAGTACAACATAATTGTACTCTAGAGAATCCAAAGAAAACCACCATAGAGTCATTTGAAATAAGCACTGCATTCATTTCAAGATAAATTACAAAAATTCTCATTCATGAAGTGGGTAAAATATGATAAAAGTATGTTGTACTTAAGAAAGTACAATATGATTGTCCTCCTAGGAATCCATAAAAAAACCTTTATAAAATCATTCAAATTAAGTATTGTAAGCTTCTAAAGGCAGAATTCAGGAATTCTCTTTTATGAAGTGAGTAAAACTTATGTTGTACTTAAGAAAACAAGTGTACAAATGATTGTACTTTATGAAATCCATAAAAAATGATTTTTTAATCATTCAAAATAAGCATCGCAAGCTTTTCAAGTTATAATTCAAGAATTCTCACTCATGAAGTGAGTAAAAACATGGAGTGTAGTCATGTTACTCTATGTTGAACTCTGAAAAATCTATAGAAAGCTTAAATAAAAATTCACAGAAATATGCAATACATGTACATTGAGTACAACGTTTACTTATTGTACACAAAATACAGATACTCATTTTACAAGTAGTCATTTTTTAAGGATTTGGTATTTATCCATTCTTAAATAAAAGTAATGCGCACATGTGACTTACAAATGAACATGTTCTCATAAAAAAGTGTAGATACTTATAGTTTCAAAGTGAATGCTAAAAATTCTTCAAACTTAAACATATTAACAAAAAAATGTGTCAGAAACATACAATTGAGTTCAAGTCTGTAACATCATCAACAAAGTTAACCTCCAAATAATGCAGGTTAGCACTCTACTTGTTCTCTATCTTCATGACAATCAATTTGTTTATCATGTAATGTTGTTTCATCATCTTTAATTTTTTTTTTCTTCATTTTGAGCAACAAGAAAATATTCAGGCATAGAACCTTCAACATATATATATATATATATATATATATGTATA